AAACTTTGCAAATGAATTTTGAATCACTCTTCCATTATGGCTGCACTACAAACTCTTCATCAATGTCAGGTCTCCTGCTCCTTGGCAAAATGAAGATTCAAGATTGAATTTTTAACAACAAATGAAATTCTAAGTAAAGGTAAGATTTCTTCCTTTACCTATCTAATATTTATAGAAACTGAAGTGCATTTATGGTTTCCCTCTCATCTAGCAGCTGAAGAAAGTATAAACAAATGAAAGTAATTTAGACACAAGTTAAGCTCCAAAAATTACAGTTTCACAAAAAAGAATTAAAGAATGGAAAAATTGCATTAAATCACCATCTCTTCTGCATGTTTGAATTATATTTGATTCCGGAACATTAGCATTGCCATGAACTTCCTTGTACAATTGAAAGAATGTTTTTTATTAGGTCAAATATGTTGAAGTAGAAAGATTGACACATCATGAAAAAGTGGGAAGGTGACTAAAAACAAATGCTAAACTACTTTGTTGAAATATTGAGAAAATAAATATTCCTTTAGCAGCTCACACATGTCATAACATTTATGAAATGGAATGCAACTAAGTTGTATTTTAATAGATGTGGATTTAGTTAATTCAATCCACCACTAAGTCTATCGAGAGAATTATTAGATAGAAAAGAAATTCACTGCGACCCCTCAGACCATGTAAACAAGATATCGTCACACTGCTGTATTGTGCTCAAAATATCAAAAAAGATATATATCTCAAACTTCTCACTGATCATTTTCAGTAAAAGATGTGTCAAACCTAAAGTAACTGGATTAATGTTTGTGACAAAGCCCTTTCCCATCCTTCACAATATATGCTTTGAACTTTGCTAACATGAGAGATGAATTAGGTGCAAAATAGTTGGTGAAAGTGATTTCTCAGAGCAAGAAATATATGAAAAAGAAGTAGATGAAATGAAATGATTATGGAACTACCATTGGGCCATTGATGTAATTGATGGTAGTATGCTAATGCGGTAATTTCAGTTCTTTAACACAATAAATACCAGATTTTTTTCTTTTTCGAATTCTCCAATTGGAATAGTCAAGTTCGCCAAATCAATAACAAAATTTCACATGGATGCAAAAGTCTCCCAAATGACTCTTCGATAATTAAAAAAGGGAACCTTCTATCATTAGCTTTACTCTATACATTGAAGTGATCATAAAGCTTGATAAAAACACAAAATATGACTAACATATATACTGATTTCCCATCATCATGATTTAGAGACCAAATTAGAGTATGTTTGGGGTGGCTTATAAGTAAGATTGTAAATATGAGAGAAACGGGCAAACCATTTTTTTCTCATACATATATTTGCACAAGGTTATCAAAGCTACGAAAGAGAACAGTGCAACAAAAAAAGAGGATATATTACAATCTAGAAAAATCTTGACCATGATGGTGAACTTCTAGCAAAAAGCATATTAGAAGAAGATGATAAAATCCAGAACGTTACATTAAAATCAAGTACGATAAGAGCTATTAGAAAATATACACAGCAAACTGGCAATTCTGCCCATTTATTCCCTATAATTGATAATAAGAAACTAGGACGAATAATTCCTCCTCAGCCCATGTCTCTTTTTTAACTACTAGATCTAGATGATTGTGCCACTTTAAGATCATGTGCAGCAACAGAACTTTAGAACATAGGCCATATCTTAACATTAGGTAAAAATATCAAAGGTTTAACTAAATTATGTAGACGAGTACATTTGCTTTATTTATGACGAAAAGTGTGCAACTGTCCTTAAAAGAATAATAGAATCCAATCTTATGCTTTTCACATGCAAGTAATGACCCTTCAACCTATTTAAACGATGGAGTGTGTTGAAGACTATTTAAATGATGTATATGTGGTATTATCTAACAATATAAGTTTTTAGATCTAGTGTTTAAATGGTGACTAAAGAAAACAAGAGGAAATAAAACAACATAGCTTAATTGTGATATATTATTTAAACAAATGACTGTCCATAAATATATTTATTGTAGTTCTTTCTAATAAAAGAGTCTCAAACTGTCATTATGAATACGGTCAAACCTATCAGTCATGTAAAGTAACGCTGAAAAAAAAAACTATCGTAACATGATAACCTCATTTCAATATCTATATAAAGAAATAAAGAACATTTGATTTGCAAGAACCTTTATATAGATCGAAGAACCATGTCTACCAATCAATTTAAGAACCATATGACATTTTATTATCTAAATCATTGTCCACACAAGGGAAAAAATTAAGTAATGAAACTAGGGCATTTAGTATACATTTGTTTAACTGAAAAACAAACAATTTAATCATTTTTTTCTGCACTGTAATTAGTCTAATAAGAGGATTGTGACAAGATCCGCTAAATTATGAATTGATTTTTGTGTAAAACTCTAATCTAAGTGTATGCCAAACACGTTCTTTAAGTTGGCAACTGGACAAAATTAACAAATTACAACAGGAGAAAAAAAATACAAAGTAAAACTTACATTTCTACCATGCCTCAGTGCATTATAAAGGAATCAATGACATCTTTAAAACCATTTTAATTATAGTACTCGCTCAAAATGTCCTTTTGAATGCTAGCTATTGTGAAAACTTTTATATTTTGACGTAACTATAACAAATCATTTATTATTGATCGAACCATTTATATCCACACATTTTACGGAACCACAAATACTACCCACTTATCTATTATTGGTTCCTATAATTTATTAAACGGTTTACAAGCACTTCTCAAACAAGTCAACTTTATTTTTTACATTGTGGATTTAAATAATTTTGTGAAGTTTAGAGAGTTAACAACACAATTCATTTATTTTAATTGCAAATAAATTATTCTAATTCGTCAAAATCTACTACGAATAGCAGAGATGAATCCATACAAAAACAATTCCTAGAATTCCTTAAGGGGAGAAATAATTGCAAATGAAACATTCTAATCAATCATATTATGAAAACCAAATACTAATCACAAAAATGTCACCACAAAATCCAATTGTAAGAATTCATGATGCAAATAGAAATTGTTGTATAATTAATCAGAATCAAATATGAATAGAAAAAATGTATCCACGCAAAACCCAATAACTACCATACATAAAAGGAAAGAGAAAATTACAGACAAAATACTCAAGTTAATCAAGTCAAATATGAGAAAAAGCATCTACAACAAACCCAATTGATAGAATTCATAAGGGGAAACATAAAATTCCTATCAAAATACTCAAGTTAGTTAAAATCAACTACTAATCACAAAGATGTATTGTCGAGCAAAATGGGGAACATGGACTCGACTGCACAAAGGGCTTTAAAATAACTTTGTAGGAGATCACGGCGTGCGGCAACAAATAGAAGGGGATAAAACCTTTTTATAGTAGCAAATTAACATTTACTTACCAAAAAATCTTTTTTTAATCATTCTCTTCGTCGTTCTCTTTCTCGATGATGAAAACTTCAAACCTCTACAAAAGAAAATAAAAACAAAAGATTAAAATTTTTGGGATGAAACCTCTTGCTAAATTAAGCGGTATATACGAAAAATAGAAAATAGAGAGTCAAGTAATTGTGTAGGAGAAGTGCAAAGAAGAACGATAGTTTGTGTGTAAAAATAGAGAAAGAGTAAGAATAAATGGGGGAGAGAAAGAAGTCTGTGAGAGAGAAGAAAGAAATGATAATTGCGTGTGAGATTGATGTAATAATAAAGCGCGGCTCTGTTCAGACATTGCATCTACATTAAAATGGGATTTGGTTACTATTGCATTTAAAGTAACCTTTCATTGCCCTTTTGATTTAAGGTTAGATTAAAAAGAATTTTAAATTAAAATTTTTTTATCTATAATGTTGGGGGAGAAAAAAAAATTCCTCCTTGTATGGAGGCGTGCATGGAGACAATGTCTCAATGTACGGAGGTTTCTTTTTTATTTTTTTTATTTTATTACACTACAAATATTTTTTTTTCAATTTAAAATTCCTTTCACTTCAAATTTTTACTTGTAACTTTTTACATTTTAGATTTTTTTTTTGTTTATATTATAAATATATTTTTTTTTCAATTTAAAATTCCTTTCTCTTCAAATTTTTACTTGTAACCTTTTACATTTTAGAAATATTTTTTGTCATATTATTAGTATTTTTATTTTTTAATAATTCCAACCGACGAGAGTTATAGAAAGTTGCGTGTTTGAGTAAATTTAGATTGCCTCTTTTACTATATAATAAAAAATATATATATAAAGCAAAGACAAGAGACGTCGTTTTTACTCCCCCACTTAAAAAAAGAAAAAAATGCTACAGTGAGACAAAATGGATTAAGTCACTATTGATTTCTACAGTAACTTCACATTCTCCTTTTTATATAGCAAAGATAAATGCTCTTGAAAATGTGAACCAAAAATTTCAGTGAAGTTGCACCTTTATCTTGTTTTACAACAAGATGTTGCCATTGGCACCATCACCAAACTCCAAATATACTCAATATTCACCTTTCCCATCCTGGGGGCACAGTGGACCAAGTTCCGTCGGCCTTTCATCGACCAGCCTCGAAGTAATTTTCGAGTTCCCTGGCAATCTATTCTTTCTCATTGTTTAACTTTCGAGTTCCCTGGTAATATATTCTTTATCAATGTTTTTAACCTGACCAGGAATTTCTAGTTGAACAATCGATCCGAGTTGGTTATAACATTACAACTTGCTCTTTCCTTGTACTTTCATCTTGAGTCTGTTTTTCTAGTTGTTTCTTGACATAATCCCTTGTGAAATTCTCCTTTTCTTCATCCACAACTTCAAAGAACTAAATGGATATTGAATAAAACCACTTAACAAGACTTAAAAACAGGGAAGAATGAGACAAACTAATTTGACAGCAAATGATTGATTTTCTTTTTGTTTTAATTTTTTAAACTGTCCAATCACACGTCGACACGTGTCCCACTAGTTTTTGAACCTGTATATGTAACATGATTGATGGATATTTCACAAGACAAAATCAAGTCTATTTTGTAGCTTCAATGTAAACTTAGATAAAACATAAATTTCGTTGTATAAAATACACCACACATATCCCAGAGAAGCAATTTGTTTCAGCCTCCAATTTTGTGAGGCAATTATTGTTATTAATACTATTATTATTATTATTATTTCCTAAAACACTTCTTGTAATCTCTGTGAGCATTGGCTGCTGTGATTCACAGTGCGAGAGCGAACTGCAGAAAAATTGAGCCAATGAGCAAAACCCTCAGACAAGTCGGGTTACAGCAGCATGTATAGCTTCCACAAGGTGTGGTACTGTCCTGGAACTCAGACCAGCCATGCTAATTCGCCTATAAAGTCAAGCAATAGAAAGTTAGCGACTAATAGTTAGATATTCTAATAGGATTCACAGTTGCCTGTATACTAGTACAAGGTAGATTATCAATACATATGACGTAATATTAATGGATCATCTTGAAATAATAACAGCAATTGTCTATTCATTTACAACTAGGAAGATAGAATCATAACTTTCTTTTGCTTGGCATTAAGTTAACTAAACTAAAAATTCCAGTCCAATAAATGTATCAAAGCTGCTAATATCTTTGACATATAGGAGCTAAATGGTAAAAACTCTCTTTAAACTAATTTTAATCATCTCTCGACTTTCCATTTTAACAAGATGGTCAATTTCTGTCTTGCTTGTTTAGCTTAGCTTGCGAATTTTATTTATAAGTAGATAAGTTTCATCAATTTTTTTATTGATGAAAGTTATAAAATCATGAGTAAAAACAGTTATTCTGATAGTCAGATGAGAGTTATTGTCAAAATCAGTATCTTTTCTCACATATATAAATAAGGAAATAGTACGCCTAAGCATATTTAAATTTAGTTAATAGTAACTTTTACTTATTCTTAAGCTTAGCCAACTATTGATTTGTCAAAGGGGGGATGCAATGCTCAGTGTTAGAAATTCTCAGTAGACAAGGTTACCCATCAGATGTCATGTAGATGTGGTATTCCTTCGTCATGAAGGCTACTTGCTCAGAGTTAAGCCCAGTGAAAGTAAACATTCCAATCTGCTTAATAATGTGGCTCCAATCACCAGGTGTTCCTGCCAATACATACAAAATGTTAATACATATGATTTTAACATTATTTTAAAAGATCTGAGATCTTAGCGGGGTTGGCAGTCCAGCTTACGAATATCCAGCCAGGTGTTTAGCACGGATGCAATTCAACATTGAGTCATAAACAATCATACACACATTCTTTTAAGTTTTAATTCTCTGGACTCTATGGAATTCAGTTTCTTTGAAAAAGAATAATCATGCGATTTGCTATCTAAAAGAAAGCAACAGTTGATCTACTAATTTGGAATCAGAGCTCAAATGCCCAGATTAAAACAATTCATGAGCCCGAACTGACATAGCTGGCATAAGTCCCTGGTGTCCCAAAAAAATATAAAAAAATAAAAATAAAAATGGTTCCATCACTAGATGGAAAAAACTTGAGTTTTTCCACCTATTAGCAGAACAAAAAGGTTCCTAAACAATCAAAATCACAGTCATGGTTAATACATCAAAAGACTGCTCAAAGAATACCTGAACGCCAGGATACAAAGATCTAGTCATTAAAAAGGTGGATGAGAATTACCTCTAGAGCGTAATGCATCAAATAGTAGATGTCGCATGTTGATAATACGATCAGCCATTGCCTTCAGCTCAATGGTCCACTCTTGGTACATATTTCTGCAGACATGTTACTACGAAACATAAATTATCTTGACTAAAGAATAACAGATTGGATGATACTAGCAATTCTTACTTTCAAATAACTTTATATGTTCACATACAGTAGGGTAAATATAGAGTATATTTCATGAATTCAATTGCAAAATAGTATAATACCTGTCCTTAAGGATGGTGGCAACAATCGATGCACCATGAATGGGAGGGTTTGAATACATTGGCCTGATCACCAGTTTCAACTGACTCTCTACTCGGCTTGCCACATCAGCAGACTTGCAAACCTGCAAAATTGAAAATATTTTGAGTAATTTATAATAACTCAGTTTACCCGTGGAAATGACAATTTATAAGCTTGGACAGGAAGATAAATGGATAACATTAGAAAGATCACAAACTTTTTCACCACTCTAATAAACCTATCGTCATTATACATGCTGTCAGAGTAATGCCATTGTGCATTCTCAACTATAAGATGATGTAAAGGACATTAGTAAAAAGCAAAACAATAGAGGGATTTTTTTAGTTCTCACATGGGTATACTTCCATTTTGTAGATATATGGTTTTCTTCATATACAGCCATAATTTTAGCACATCATAATAATATAAGCCACTAAAAATTTTCAGTTACAAATTGCCTTTCAATGTAAATGCAAATATATTTGGAGCTAGGATTTGAAAACGAAGGGATAGTTTTCATATATTCTACACAGATGTTATATCTGATGAAAACAGAAATATGGTTCTTAGAAAAGAAGGAACTTGTGATGCAGGTAAATCATTACTGAAACACACAGGTACAAATAGTTGAAAAAGTTTATTAAAATAGAACACAAGAAGAATGTGGCCAGCAGACTGTTGATTTTTTTCTCCTCTTTTTTTCTGTGGGTGATGGATATTTTAACTGACCAAAAGGTCAAACTCTCGTTAAACTATATTACAGAGATACTTCTAAAGATGACTTACAATGCTTAGGGCACCAACACGTTCGCCATAAAGCCCCATGTTCTTTGCATAACTTTGGGCTATAAGACACTCGCCCCCATCCCCTACAAACAACCGAACAGAATGTGCATCTGCATCTAGATTTCCACTTGCAAAACCCTGAAATATCGTGTTCAATCTCAATATAAAATGAACCGTAAGATTTTGAATAGATCGGTCCATCTCTCTGAATCAGATGCCATTGATGTGATCAATGTTTGGCTTAGCTTAAAAAATGTAGCAGTTACTTTTAAGCAACTTATTTTCCAAATTTCCAGATAACATTTTTCTTTCCCAAAAGAAGATATTTAATTTGAGAGCAACGCTGTCGAAATAAATAACTCACTAGAGTCCCACTTTTACAGCTAAGCCCATTTGGTGGTTTTTTAAAATTTTGATAAAAATCTAAGTCAAAGTCAATAATTAATTTTAACCACACATTTCATGAGACCCACGACTTTATCAATTTTTCAACCACATATTTCATCAACATTTATTAAAATCGACTAAAAATATAATTTTTAACTACATATTGAAACTTCTTTAATTACTTATACGTAAACTTTTTAAGCTTAGCCAAGCATGCTCTTCTTGCGACTTTGATGCGAAAAAGTTCTCCCACCTGATAAGCACTATCAAAGAAAGGTAGCAATGCTTTCGATCTCATTAACTGTCTAATTTGTTCCCACTGCTGAGGAGTTGGATCCACACCAGTTGGGTTATGAGCGCATGCATGAAGAAGCACAATTGCTCCTGAAGGAGCAGAACCAAGGTCTTCCAACAAACCTGTTATATGCCAAAGAGGATACATCAGACAAATTAATAAGACCTGCATAATACATGTAAAAACTTGGGCACATATATATGATTACTAATAGCAATTCTGTTTAAATACATATCAAGTAAAGGAATAACATGCAAAGCTGAAGGTGACAACTCGATCAATCCAATCTTCAAATTTTGATGCAGATATCAAGAACGTGAGACATATACAGTGAGGTGCTTGAAATGCTCAATCCAAAATCCTTTGCAGGTCATGCTCCATAAAGTAGAAGCAGAGATAGGGGAGCAGAAAGAGTGCTTTTATCACCCACTCAATCTATTAGCAATCACTCCAACAAAAATTACTCCCTTGTTAGTTCACCATGTCCTCAGGTTCTATTCATGCAACATAGTCAGAATAAATATACTCTACATTTTGAGATTCCATACTCCAAAAAAAATGATGTTTTGTGGTTAAGGAATCAAACATGGAACTGCCTTCTGTCCTTGTCTATACGTTGGTTGAGGAAAAAATAATATTTATCTGCCAAAATCACTAATGGGTGAATATTTAGTTAGATCTATTTGGAAACTTTTAAATTGTTTCTTGTAAAAAGTCCGAACCTTGAAAATTGAGTCCACGAGTTACTGGATCATAGTAGCGGAAAGTTTTTACTGATAACCCAGCTAAAGTAAAAACTTTTGGGTGGTTTCCCCACGTTGGCTGTGGAATATATATAGTACGCTGCAAACCATAGTACAACAGGTAAGTTCTGGACATATATGCACATATTGCTATTAACTGGATAAGAGAGATTAGGTAGAGGGTGGATGAGTAGATCTACACTTACTTGATGATAATGTCGAGCCAAAAATTCACCTCCAACCCGTAATGAGCCAGTGCCAGACAAGCACTGAACAGTTGTGACCCTGTTCTCTTGGATGGCAAGACTGTCCAAGCATGTAAATTTTGAGATTACATAACTGATAACACCATCCATGGTATGAGTCATATGTAATGGAACTAAGAAATATCAACAAAGATTTAATTTGACCATTTATGACCTTTTTTCACAAAACGGAAAAAGGAATTGAAAATGTTGCAAGAGGATCATCATCCAACTGAAGTGTCATCCCGAGAAATTGCAGCCAGAAACTATAGAGGAGAATGGAGATTAATTATAGCGACACTAGTATTTGGTGATCAATCAACTAAAGAATAGGGGCGTCAACCACCCGACAGGTCAGGGCTGGTGCAAAAATGTTGTGGGTGAGTCAGGCTGTAGAGGCTCGCAACCCGCTTCAGCCAACTTACACGGGCCTTATTTTTAATGGGAAAAAAATGAAAAAGTAAAAACCTACTAAAAATTTATGCAAAAAAAAAGATTTTTGGGCCCATAGTTCTGGCAAAACCCGTTTTAGATAACAGCTAGCTGTTATGTTCGTTGTAGCGCGCCTTCCCTCCTTCTCTCACTTCGGAAAGATTTAGCAGTCTTTTTGATGACCTGGTCGAGAGAGTACGATACATCGGCGTAAAAGATTGAGTTGGATCTGTGAGGTTGGTTATAGTAAGGCCTGGCCGGAAAGTGTTCTTGCCTCTATCATTAGCTCGGGTAGTCGTCGTTTCTGGTGTTTTAGTCACCTTTCAATGGCTCCCTTAATTATGTGCGAGGAATTGCCCTATTGAGTAATGGGAAGCGGGCTACTCCCCGAAAATGCCCCGCCCGTAGGTTCCTTTGTCGTTGGGGCTCAAAATCCTTCCTTGCTCGTTCCTAGGAACTCAGTAACGTGACCAGTAAGTCAACGGGCATTGAGGCAGGCAGTCAGTACATACAGTACAAGTAGGAAAAACAAAAGTCCCCGAAGGAATGAGATGCAGTTCTTTAATCATTCCCGTCAATCTAGACTAGTAGGTTTTTTCTTTTTAAAAATCAGTCGAGATGTGAACAGGGCTTTACTTATGAGATTAGTTGAGTAGGGTTTTGTTAGTTGTCACGAGTTTCTCGACCCTTTGACTTAAGATTAGTCAATTCTATTTTTCGATGGGGACACGAAAGGGATATAACTCAGAGGTTAAAGGGGTATTTTGGTAAAATGAAGGGCTCTCGCAGGGGCAGCTATTAATTGACATTGCCTTTAGCCTTGCCTTATGATGACTCTTGCCCTAGTAAACAATTGCCTGTTGAATCCATAGATAGCGAAGCTCACCTGCCATTTTATCTTCAAGTCACCAATAAAAGTTTTTACATGAATATGACCAATGTTTAGGCATCAGATAACAAAACTCTTCGAGAAAGTTTATACACAAGCAAAAAAGAAAATTTCTCATTCAAATCATAATTTATCTTTCCTTAACATTCGGACTAGCCATCTACATATGAAATGCAAAATAGATAATTTTGTACCTGTCGGCACCAAGTATGAGCTTCGCACTCAATTTATTGAAATCTGCCAACCCAACAATTGGAAGATACTCCTTTACACGAGAACTGCACATAAATCAACTTCAGTCACCAAATCAACAAATAGAAATCTTTGTAAATGGTAATAACAGAACTTTATACTCACCTGTCATTCACTAGCATTTGCTCTGCTCTTCTAACGACATTCAAAACAAGAGGTTTTCCTTCCTGTTATACCACATATCATGCAGGCGATCAACACAAAAACTAGCCAGGACTAGTTACGACTGATTGCGTAATTAAAAGGCACAACATTAAGCATGGAAAATTCACCTCTGTCCGATAAGCACCAACACCCAGATTCAACTTCAGCGGGCTTGTGTCCTTATTGTACGCAACAGTTACCTATTGATTCACATGTATAATACCAAAATTTTATTATCCAAATCTTGTCAGAAAAAAGGATACCCAAAAAATTAAAAAATCTTTCCTTACATAGTTGGATTTTCCAAATAAAAATAGAGAAAATTTTCAAGCATAACTAGTTCAATTTATTATTTTGCAGTCACTCCATCAACAGGTAGATTATTAGCAAAATTAATTCAAGACGTGACGCTGATAACAACTTATATCCTGATTACAACTGTTTCTTCGATTTCAAGTTAGCGAAATTCATTCTTTCAAAAAATTAAAAGATCACAACTATATAACTCATATATAATTAAAAATAAACTGCAATAAATCTTTTGATTTAATCAGCATATATATTCAACGAATACACACGCGCACAAAGAAAATTAGTAAATTACGCCGAGAATTGGATCTTCGGGGGCCCGAACAATATGCTCGAAGACAGAATTGCGGGCTCCAGGAAAGCCCGAAGTTGGATAGGCTGTAATGGTATCGGAATCCATGGCATTCGATGATCCTTCAAGGTGTCTGATCAGTGCACTTAACCTCCGATCCGCAGGTGATGCTGACCACGAGTGCATTTTAGCTTTTATATTTCTTTTCTTCACTAAATTACACTGGCGGGTATTGCTTTACTTTTTCTGGTATTTTGCTTTTTGGTAATTGACACCGGGGCGGTGCGGATTTATATAATAACGTGTGACGTGGTGCAATGCTCCCGATCTGTTTTGTCGTAATGAAGGGATAAGATTGATAATGCGTGTGGCACGATGAACAAGGGAGTGTTGCTGTTATTTTTGGATATTGATTGACACGACCCTCAATGTTGTTTTCTTTGAATGACACCAATAATGTTAAAATGAGTAATGCGATAAATAGAGAAATTTTGTACAAAGTTGTTTTTTTTTTAATCCAGGTATCCCAACTTACACCAGACTAAATCCTGGACCTCCAAAATCCATGCCCCTAAAACTTTGAAAGGGTAAATCGCGGGTTATGCCTCAACTGGATTACAGGTTCTCCCCATTGATTGTACACTTCTGCGCATAAGAGACCCTACTCCACAGTGATTGCTCCATACCAAATTTTTTGGCCGCAGGTTCCCACCAAAAATCGAACTCTCGGCCCCGCCGCTGGAAGCAAGCCAATGTTGATTGATCCACCAGTTGAGTTGTGCCCAGGGGAGCTTTTTCTTTTTCTTATATATATAGGTGTTGAAACATCATTCAAAAATGAGAAAAAATATAAAACACAGACGGATGAGATTTTTTTTTCATTTCAAAATCCTACATGAATTCTGTAAATTTTTCCTGTACTTAAAAAAAAAATCCTGTTAAAATAATGTTATCTGACACTAATAATGCTAAAATATAAATTTAGATGATATTATGTAATGAATTCAATTAAGTCCTTATTTGAGCCCCATTTTTCCATCAAAACACATTTTTAAACAGCAATTTGACTTCATTTCAATTACATTTTTAATATAATGATATTACATTTAAATTCAAAATTATTTCTTATTTTTTAACTACTTATTCTTCATCATAACACTATTACAAGGTATATTTTTGTGAAAATAATAGAGCTCAAACAACCCCTAAAACTGACTTATCTAGAAATAATGTTATCTAGTAATGCTGAGTGATTCTATTTAACACTACTAATGTTTAACAACAGTGTAAATGGTAATATTAGTTGCATTAAATTACATGTTCAATTAGATACAATGAATTATGACCTATTTAGCCCTTCATTTTTTCCAATTTTAATGAATGAAATAGTAATTTTTTGAAAAATGTGTGGTTGATAAGAAAAATGAATTTTAATTTAATGGAGGCCAAACATGGGCTTAATATGATTCATAAATATGTTGACACCTAAATTGGCATTCAACATTACTGGTGCAAAATAATATTGTTCTAAAGATAAAAGAAAAGAAAAATGTTTTTCTAGCATATTTGAATCTGTTTTCATCTCTGTTTGGTAGAAATTTATCAAGAATTGATTTGTGAAAAGTGACTTTTTTTAAGGCTAAAACTATGAACAAATTATGAGTTTGTGTGGAAAATTATTTTTGATTTCAATTTTGTTTTCAAGAATTGATCACGTTAAAAACAATTTTGAATGATCAGTTTCACTCTGTGTCTTTATATCCTCTCTTAGTTGATAATCTTTCCACGTACTAATTATACTTGTCTTGATTAATTAAAAATAGTCGATTTCGCAGTTAAGGTCGAGGGTTCAAGAATTGTAACATTTCTCTCTTATAGTCCCCCTCGTACAAATTTGTTGCTCTTGAGAGTTTTGCAGTGTGAAAAAGTAATGAAGGGGGGAATCATATCATGAATGTGTTGTTAATTCTTTTATGAGAGTCTTTTTTTCAGATGTTTTTAGAATAATTTTTTATAAAAATAGATATATGTAAGAGAATATGTACTTAGAAGGAGGAAAAGTTATGAATTTATGGTACATTTTTTTTTTATGAAGAGAATATGTTATTAAAAACTAGTTTAAAATTAGTTTTAAAGACTGTGTCAAACAAGGAATTGACGACGATAAAAGGATCATCTAGAAGACATTACGTGGGAAAGTGAGGCGAATTCAAACAGCCAATAGCATTGATTAAAGATTTGTCTAAAAGAAAAGATATTCTTTTAAATTCTGTAATTATCCAATTTAATATGCTAAACGAAAAAGAAAAAGTCAAATATAAGTTATTTTCTTTTGTAAAAGTGACTACTACGCTACCCTTCGGATACAATTTTTCCATTAAAATAAATAAATAAATAAATAAAATTGTAACACATCTGACTAATAAGCCCCTATTTGGCTCAAATTTTAATATGAGTTAAAGTAAATACAATCAATATAAACCATATCTTTCGCAAGTCCCACGACTTTTAAATCATACATTTCAAAAACTTCTTTTAAAATCTACTAAAAATCTAATTTTAATCCCTATCAAACCACCTCTAAATCATGTTTAGTTCAATATTATGTTAATATTAATGTATGATAGAATGCGTATATTTATTTATATATGATTAAATATGCTCGTAATTTACGATTATGTATCAAAATGAACATGAGGTAGGCAATTTGATTTCTAGATTTCTATACGAAATGTCAATGCATTTCCAATTCTGCAATTTAAATATAAGATATATATATATATAATTTTTTTTTTTATATGGACTGAACTTTGCGGATCGATCATTTTTTTTTCTAGCCTAAATAAAAGGAAGGTTTTTGAAAATAGACTAAGAAATGAAAATATTTGAAAAATAGTTTTCAAACAATCATCTTTCCAAAAATACCCCTTATAGAGAAATTGCAACCAAAGTCACTGCAATGTATAAAAACCTTCAAATAGGTCCTCAAGAAAATATAGATCAAAAATCATTAATTAATTTAAACTCAAATATTATAGAAAACTTTATTGATCTAAGAAATGCAACAGAAAATGAATTAAAATACTTAGAAGAAGAAATAAAAGGATTCTTTACAGAATATTTAGATCCAAAATTAAAAAATAAAAACGTTTCTATGGATAATAATACAATCAAAACAGAAAATGATATATATAAATTAATTCTTAATTTGAGAAGAAGAATTAAATAAAATTATTAAAGAAAAAGTATTAATAAAAAATAGTGAATTTTATAAATTTTATTGTGACATTTTAGATACTTATAAAGATTTTGATTGGCTCAAAAATATTTACCCCTCCGCTGCACACTCCGAAAAAATGGTATCAGAGCCAGATTACGAACCAAAAATAATGATGAATATAGTAGATGGAGAGAATATAATTGAAGAATTTTTGAAAAAAGTTGAAAAACATAAAAAATCGAGTTATCCTTACTTACCTAAAAACACCACAAATGAAAATTTTGGGGATATACATAAAAGATTAGAAAATCTAGAACATAATCTACAAATAGGAAATGCTCTTTTAGATAAAAGTCTTAAAGGAAAGGATAGAATTATAATAAATCCACCCCAAGATTTTAGGATAACAAAAAGAGAAAATAATAAAAAGAAAAAACATGAAGAAAAACAATATATGATAACAGATGTAGAAGAAATAGAACAAAAATTCTTATAATCTACAGGAGAAGAGTATGAAGAATATAAAAAACAATTAGAAAAATTAACTGAAAAAATGAAAAATATAAAGATGAATACTAACTCATCTTCAAGTCAGGATATAAAATTGATGAGGAACAAGATTATCCTTATGGTACTACAATACCCATTAAGGTTGATATTAACCAATATAGAAAAACACAGAAAAGATACACTGGAAATGTAAGAAAACAATCCATAAAAGAAATAAATCCAACGAAATCTTATAATGAACCAATCCACACAACAGGAGTATGGTTAGACTTAGACTGTGTAGATAAAAATAAAGCTATTGAAACATGGATGAAAAGTACAAATTTAGCAATACAATTTAATAAATGGAAAACATATACAACATTTGGATTTATAGAACATACATTCAGAGGAATGGTTTCTGAATGGTGGAGAAAATTACCAGAAATTATTAAAGGAATGATAAAATATGGAACAAATAGAACTGAGGTATTAGATAATAGAAATACTCTAAATGAACAAAATATACAGGAGATATTAAAAAGATTTGAAAAAATCTTAAGAACAGAATTTTTAGGAGATAGATATACTTCTGATGAAGAAGAAAGAAAACAGGATGAATATAATCAAGGAATGATAGCAATGGAAAAACTAAAGATATGTGATATGTGTGAATTAGAAAGATGTACTTGTAAATTTGAAGAACTATACTATATACTTAATCAAGGAGATTATCAAAAAAACAAACCTATATTAAGATCTTATTTTACAAAATTACCATTCCCATGGGGAATTAAACTATTAAAAGAATATGAAAAATTATTACCTCTAGGAGAAGAGGAAGGAGTTAAAATAGATAGTTTTGGAAGTAGAATTGAATTTACAAGAAGAATGATAGGTATGTGGTGCAGAGAAGCACTAGAAAATAAGAAAGCTTATAAAATAAGAAAGAATTCATTATGTTGTTATAAGGATAATGGCCAAATTGAACAATTTGGATGCCATAAAAAGAAATATAAACCATATAAGAAATATAAAAGAAAATTCAAAAATTACAAAAAATTCAATAAAAGAAATTTTAAACCATAGAAGAAATATTTCAAGAATAGAAATTGGAATAAGAAATTTAAACCAAGAAACATTAAAAAATGTAGATATTTTATTTGTAATGAAGAAGGACACATTGCCCCTCAATGTCCTAAAAAGAAAGATAAACAAAATATAAAAACTCTTAGAATTTATGAAAAATTCCAAGAAGATAGTGATATAGAACCAATTGAATATTTTGAAGATTTAAGTAGTGAATGCAGTAATATTTACTAATCAGATACATTTTCATCAGAAGAAGACTATGAGAAAATAGTATATATGAATCAGGAAACACAACAATCAGAAATAGAAATTGAAACAACTGAAGAAGTTGAAAATTCTATAGAAGGTATTAATCAGGAAATTACTTTTGATATTAAAAAATATGCAGGAATCACTAAAAAGATATTAGATCTACAAGAAAAAAGATATATTTCATCAAGGATTCTTAGAAATTTTATCAAGAGTAAATAAAACAATTGTAAGTATGAAT